GAGAGGGAGGGAGGGAGGAAGGAGGAAAGTGGGGGAGGGAGGGAAAGAGAGAGAGAGAGAGGGAAGGAGAGAGACAGAGAAACTTTACCCCCAGGAGCAAAGAAACAGGTCAGCCTCTCTTTCCCTATTGCCAACCAGACTCACTCAGGATGGGCCGGACCTATAGTAACCCTTGGCCTCTGAAATTCTAACTCTTGTAGGTGTCCCAAAATAAAACAATTATCTATGATATCAAATGTCACCAAGGAAGTTTAAAAAGGACCAGAAGGAAGACATTCACTACGTCCGAATCTTTCGGCACAGATCATCCAACCAGAGCAATATATGAGGTCTGTGGTCTTTGCCTAGAAGAGCTCAATAGATCAGTCACTGGCCATTTAAGTCAGCAGCCCTTTAAGAAGTCAATGGCCATTCCTCATCAGTCAGTTAGAACTGAAGAAGCTTCTTGGGTAAGAAGTGAAATGTCTTCAAAGTAATTAAAACAACAACCAAGTTGCCTTTTGGAAAAAAAACAGGGGTCTCCAACCTTGGCAACTTTACGACTAGTGGACTTCAACTCCCAGAATTCCTCAGCCAGCATGCTCTGGCTGAGGAATTCTGGGAGTTGAAGTCCACCAGTCGTAAAGTTGCCAAGGTTGGAGACCCCTGCGTCTAAACCATTTGTGATCCATTTCATACATGCTTCTTTTCCTCCGCTCACTGTCCTGCCAAGCTTGGAATTGACAATTTGCTCGTTTCTGCCAGGCCTACTTGCAACCTCTTGGAATCTGCCATACCTACTTGGATCTCAGGCACCTTTCCGTGGGGCTCTGAAGGATCAGGTGATAGAATGGGTGTACAGATGAGGCTCTGGGGATCAGAGGAAGGGCCAGAGGTGGAGATAGGACCCAGGTGTGTGGATGGAATGGACATGAGAGTGAGGAATATGGATTCTGAAAAGAAACATTTTCTCTTGTTTTCATTTCTCTGCCTTGAGACAAAGACTTAAACTGCTTTTATTCCTCGCTGCATGGGTAGGGGGGGAGAGGAGAGGAGGGAGGGGGGTGCCTTAAAGCAAATAATTAAAACTGATTTTATTCTTCTCTGCAAAAGTACAGAGTAGCTGCGGCTGCACAGTCGTAGCTAGCAACTTCAGAAAACCACTGGCCAGGATATTAGACACAAGAATTGCTCGCTTATAAGAAGAAGAAAAAAACCCCAAACCACATAGCTGGCACATGGAACTACAACACTTTGCAAGATACCCGTGACCTGCGGTGAATAACCGGTGATGCGACTTTTAACTATTTAGCATAGCAAGCGTAAAGGTTTTAGAGGGCTGTAATCCAGATATCCAATCAATAGTACCTGTTATGCATGCACTATTAGGGGAAGGGCAAAGGGGTATATGACTTTGACTATAAGAATTGCTGTAAGATTGTAATCAGGGCCTTGGTAGCTTTCAAAACCAGGGCCCTTATATCTTGGTACCAAAATAATAAAGTATAATTTTGTATCACACTTTGTGTTTGGTGACTCATCGGCTTCGACACCAAATTAAGCCCAGTTTGGGGGACAACAGCTTCAATTTTTCTGCTGTCTGCCCCCCTTCCTTCTAGCCTCCACCAATCCTTGCTCATCCCAAGAGACGCCGATTAATTTCAAAAAGACAACCATGATAATAAACAGCTCCGAATATATAATCAGCATATATTTTCTTTACATGCAAGAATTACAGGAAAGTTACCGTAAAAGAAAAACCAGTTCACTCTTCTTGCATGGCTTGCTTTAATTTACCATCAGACTGTAATTCACCAACAGATTTTACGTTCATTGAGCAAGAGAGGATAAACCTCAACGGTTAAAACTCTTAATGGGTGTTTAACTAAACATTTGACTAACTCTTGTTAATCCATGCTGACTTGTGTGTTGCTGCTTAACAGATGAACATCAGAAATGTGCTGTTCTCACTCTTTTCAAGAACGCCAGACGCTAGGCTAATGAATCACCAGCGCACGATGAGCTAGCCTCTGCTCACACACCATGTCTGTGACAATGTCTTCCCTTAAAAGATTTGAGGAGGGAAAAGATGCAGCATTTGCTTTTCAACTTAGTTAAAATGATTCTGAAAAGGTAAGCAAAGGAGGAAGAGTTGATAATACTACGGACGGTAGGATAATTATATTTGTGTGTTTCCCCCCGAAAATGAGACCCAACTGGAAAATAAGACCTAGCATTTTTTCAGGATGCTCGTAATATCAGCCCTACCCCAAAAATAAGCCCCAAATTCAGATGCTTGTCAACTGGCTTGTACTTATGATGTGCAGTGTCCCATAATCACCTTTTGGGAACCTTCTGACAAGCCAAATCAATGGGGAAGCAGGATTCACTTAACAACCGTGTTACTAACTTAACAACTACAAAGAGTCACCTGCCAGCTGTGGCAGGGAAGGGCATAAAATGGGGCAAAACTTACTTAACGACTGTCTTGCTTAGCAATGGAAATTTTGAGCTCAGCTGTGGTTTAAGTCGAGGATCACCCATAATCAGTGATTCGTGAAATGGTACCTACCAAAATTAATCTAAGCTCTCAATCAATAAATGGGGGTTGTGAAACCCACCGGAGGAAAATACATTCCAGGCAACAAAATAGGAGGACGTGCAACAAAAAGGAGAATGGAAAATACAGCCTGAATAATGGATTACTTTTTTATTTTTCCTCTTTTTGACCATAGGACAAAAGCTGATTCCGTCCAAAGGTGCTTAAAATAAACAGAGCAGTTTCTGGAGGACCTTCGCTCATTGTTAGTCTTTCCAAAAAAAGGAATTTAAAAAACAAAAACAAAAGGAGCTTAGAAACATATACCAAATTTCATCCCAATATACTGTAGTTCCGCTCATCTGCATAATGTTTATTTATTTTTTTCCCCTTTAAAACAGGTACGATATTGAAACATCTGGTCATTTTCTGTTCATTCCCAATATGAAAAGCACCTAACAAAATGTTAACAGAGAATCCAGTCGTCTGTTCAATTATTCCATCTATAAATTCTCATGTCTGGGGGATTATTTGTAACCTTCAATGGGACAAAATGCTGCATTGCTGGGCAATCATTTCAGAACCAATGAACCTCAAATTGGCCAATTTACAAGTTCCATCCAAAATCCAGGTGCTCTGACTCCCAGAGGATTGAAATGTGGCAAAGCAGTGGCTGCTTTCAGTGCTTATACACCACTGTGGTCATGTGGTCATCATGTCCAATGCTCCCTGCCAGTTTCCTACAAGGAAATTCCATGGGGAAGCCTTCAGGAAGTCGAAGGTCACTCTCACTGTTTTTTTGCCTGCCTGTGGTCATTCCGTTTCTCTGCTTAAGTAAGGAAATATTTCTGAAACAATGACCCAAGAGGTCACAGGTTGTCTAGTTAAACAATAAGAGCAGAATACACGGCTAGAATATAGCAATGGCACTTAAGAGTTATATACCACTTTACAGTGCTTTACAGCCATCTCTAAGCGGTTTACAGAGTCAGCCTATTGTCCTCCAACAATCTGGGTCCTCATTGTACCAGCTTCAGAAAGATGGAAGGCTGAGTCAACCTTGAGCCGATCAGGATCGAACTCCGGGCAGTTGGCAGAATTAGCCTGCAACACTGATTCTAACCATTGAGCCAGCATGGCTCTCTATAGAAGGATTATGATATTAGTTCCATTAATCCAATGTTTTTATAATCAGTAAGATTTTTTTAATTGCTCTGGATTAGTGCTATTAATTTTTGGTTTTTCCCCCCTTAGCAATCTTCTTATACTATTACTTGGATGATATTCTTAGCTCTCTACATTTTCCAGTTTTATTTCAAAATAAAATACAATATGACACATAAAGAGAGGAATAGTGCTCTCTAATTCCACCTCAACAAGGTTTTCAACAATCCAAATATAACCCATCAGTCTTGCATTTCGTAAGTGATGTAAAGTTGCCTTTGAAATCAAAATAATGTAAGCTGGTCATGACTAATTTTTTCAGTGGAACAATCCACTTTGTATTGTTGCTTTTGCAACTGTAGTCACAACGAAGCGTAGACTGCAAAAAGCAAAAAAGCTTTTTGCAAAAGGCTTGCAAAAATTCTTTTCTTTCAATGTGTTTTTAATTAATGCTGTTTAAAAGTAATGAGTACATCCGAAAAGTATTTGGAATAAAAGCTGCAAGAAGAAAAGTAAATGAGAACCCATTAAAAAAAAGCTCCATTGAGAAAATAGACATCCAACTCACACATAAAGTTTTACGTTCATCTTCATTATGAAAGACATTTGCTCATTATTTTGTGTTCAATTAATCATGCATGCCTTCTGAATATACATAACTTACCACTTCATGAATGGATTGATTGAAGCCATCATCTTCAGTAAGGATTAACAAAATTATCAGTGCCATATAAACGTGATGTGAATTCCTTTCTTCAACATGATAAAGAATCTCAAGAATTGGCAAAACCTCAAAAAGGAAAAAAAAATAGAGATAAGTGCAAATTCATATGAGGATGATTGAGACAAAAAAAAAATCCAGGTTTTAATATTCTCCTGATTTTACCTAAAAACTTTGCCAGCTTGGTCTAGTGGTTAACACACCAGGATAGAAACCAGGTGACTGGGAATTCTAGTCCCGCCTTAGGCACAAAAACCAGCTGGGTGCCTTTGGGCCAGTCCCTTTCTCTCAACTTAACCCACTTCACAGGGTTGTTGTTGTGGGGCAAACAGAAGGAGGAAGGGGAACTATGTATGTTTCAATTGTTTATAAAAATAATAAAGGCAGGATATACAAAATAAATAAAAACACCCACCCAATGTACTTAACAATTGAGTTGCCAGTTCCAATTGTAAGTGCTAAACAAAGACTACCTGTAATGAACTTAACGTCTGCAATTTTTTGAAAAAAGTAAGTCAGAAAAAGCCAACCTGGCAAAATATAAAGTATGATTCAGAAGCCAAGTAATAACCCAACATTTTGTCAAGGATGCTTCAAAACAAGAGGGATTGTTTTTTTTTTTAAAAAAAAAGGTGGGCGGGGATGAATTTGAATCATTTTTCTGTTTAAAGTCATTTAAGCAAATAAAGATAGTCCTTGACTTATGACTGGTTGGTTAGCGACCGTTCAAAATTATGGTGGATCCTGAAAATGGGACTTACAACCCAATTTCGAAGTTCCGACATCTGCCTCCTCCCACGGTCACATGGCCGTATTCTGGGTGTTTTGAAACCAGCCCGCATTTATGGCTCTTTGCAGCATCCAACAGTCACGTGACCACAATTTATGCGGGCTTTTTTCTGGAAACCGGTTTCTGGTTTCTTGCAAAAAAACATTAAGCCTGGCATTTGCTTGATGACTGCAAAAAAGATCATAAATCGGTCACAGGAATATGGGGAACTGCTTCATGATCTCTATGACTTATGAGTGTAATTCCAGGCTCAATTACGGTTGTAAGTCAAGGACTAAATGAACCAGGCTTGGGTGAACAGCAATACCTTATAGCAATAGCACTTAGACGTATATACCACTTCACAGTGCTTTACAGCCCTCTCTACGCGGTTTAGAGAGTCAGCCTGTTGCTGTTCTGACCAAGGCTTATTGAGACACTAATAAACACACATTCCAAAACCCTTTTTTCTTTATTTCAACAGCTGTGAATTATAGTCATTCACAGCCCGTAATGAGTCTCAAACAGTTTGTAATGGTCCCATGGAAGTCTGCCAAAGTACTTCAGGATAAGTCTGATAAGCACCCACCTTTATCTTCCTTGAAATGCTGCCAACGACTAAATTTCCAATTAGTTATACAAGGCCAAACAGAGCACAAATTCAACACCGAGCTTCAGGTTTCAAACCGACCAGTACAAACAAAGTTGCTTCCGGCAAAGGTTCGTGTCCCTTTGCTCCTCCTTTATGTCTTATGGGAGGGCCAATCACCTCCAAGCCTTACTCCCGAGTTGCCCCTTTTGTCTTAACTGTTCTTGTCTTCTGGCAGCTCTGTGCATGCGCGTACTGGGAACAGGCTCCCCTTGTTCCTCTGCCTCGCTGCTGTCAGATTCTGGAGGCTCTGGAGTCGGCATATAACTCTCAGATGGCCCTGGCCCCATCTCTGTATTGGATGCAGGACCCTCATCTGAGTCCTCTCCAGACTCCAGGACTGGTCCATGTTCCTCCCCACTGTCCGACTCTGCTGCCATCTCCGCAGGCTGCCAGTGGACCACAACAATTGCCTCCAACAATCTGGCTCCTCATTTTACCCACCTCAGAAGGATGGAAGGCTGAGTCAACCCTGAACCGGCCAGAATCAATGCTGGTTACAGGTATAGAAAGAGTTATCTGCTAGATACATATTCCCTACTTCTTTCAAGAGCTCAAGGTGGCTTACACTGCAATCTCCATTCATGAAACCATATAATCTAATCCTAATCTGTGAAATGGGTGGCCTAAAGACACCAAATGAGATTTGATGGCTGAGAAGGGACCAGAGTCTTGATTCCCCCTAGTCATAACCCAACTCCTTACCCAGCATTCTCTAAAATCCCCACCTACCCTAAAATCCATCAGCTGCCGCTGTTAGAATACCTACAATTACTTCATTCACACGTTTAGAGAAGCAGCTTCTCTCTAGTGTCTAGTTCTCTCAGCAATTCAGAAACCACCATTTCACAAGGGAGACTTCCATCCTGTTACATTTTTGTTTTGGATTAGTTACGCACAGAACAAAATACTTACCAGGTTTTCCATATCTGTCCGGGACAACATATATGTTCGAACATTGCTGTTCTGGTGCAAAAGGGTATACAAGAGGAGCGTGGCATGGTCAGAATTCTGCTGCTCACATAATGTGGTGTACAAACTATTAAAATTGATCTGGAAAGCATGAGGAGTTGGTGAAGACAAAGCTGTGCTATCTGGAAGGAAAACAAACAACATCAAATACAACATGCAATCTGTTTGACTGATTTTTTTTTGACTTTTCTTCCCATCTGGTCCCAACTGAACAAAGTTAACCTTCATGATGTGACTCAGTAGCCTTCAAACTGCAACGCAAAAGGCTTCGGCCTTGCGCTTTCCAGAGGCTCTGTCCATCATCGTAGGGTTTAGGGAGTTATTTCTTATTTATTGGCTCTGCATTCATAGGAGGGACTGATATGATTACAAATCACCTTACGTCAACAGATGGAAGAGTGATTTAAAATGCAGAATCTAATCTGTTTTCATTGAACTATCCTATAATCTTCTAAATGGCCAAGAACTGTGAATCTCCCAGTGAAGTTTTACAAGAAGCATGACTGCCAAGTTTCGGTTAGGTCTGATTAAAGGCTATCAAGGAATAGAACTGATAGTGCTGATTAGCTGGAACAGCTGATCCAACTGGAGAAGGCAGCTTGTAATAGAAAGGCCAATGGAACTGATTCAGGCCAGGAGGGAACATGTGTTATCTCTCTGCAAGGATATATTCTCAACTCCCTTAGATGCGAAACTAAAATACGCACACAGATAGAGAGAGCACTGATAGGAGAAATAAATTTGGTGGGAGGAAGAGTTCCTGCAACGAATGAGTCTCCTCTGAAAACTGGCCCCCTGCTCAACCATTTCCTACCAGGCAGAGCTAAATTCCTATCTTGATATCCAGATAGAGAGAGAGAAAAAAAATTAAAAGGGGAAAGGAATTTATGGGGAAAATGAACATAGGAAGACGTCTTTTCCAAACCACCAACTCTTCCTAAACATATGTTCACTCGTCATTTATCTTACTAGCAAGGTTTAAGTTTGAACACCGTGAAACTTAAAATGGACCTTTGGCCATTGGCCCAAGGTAAGTCATGTTCACATACGTCAGTGAGAGTTGCTCTAAAACTGTTGTGGTTAGCTGGCAGCAGGTGTGGACGGCTGAGGAGAGCGAGGACTCAGATGAGGGGCCAGGACCATTAGGGAGTGGACGGCTGCTTTCGGAGATTGTGGGGGCTGGTAGCAGCGATGTGGAGGTTCCCGAGGAGCCTGTGCCAAGTGCAGGCAAGAGCAGCTGCAGCAGCACAGGTGACTCGGGAATAAGGCTGCAAGGTAATGGCCCCTCCTTCAAGAAGATAAAAGCCAGCTGTGAAGCGAATGTTCTTTGCAGGAAGCAAAGACATTTTGAAACTCAAGCCTCACGGACACTGCAGTATTTTAGTTGGTATTTGAAGACTCTTGTGTTGTGAAATATTTCTAGGTAACCTTATCTGTTATTCCTGGCAGCCTCGCATAGTTTTGGCGAGGCTCGTGCTTATCAAAGTCAATTAGTTTGCAGCAGCCTTTTAACCTGGGATTCATAAGAACCATTAAAAGGTTTCTGTTCCCTTTGGTTCGTCTTTATTGGACAAGGGTTTTGGTGAGAACAAAAACAAGGGTGTCAAGCTCAAGGACCAGGGGCTGGATCCAGCCCGTAGGGTGGTTAGATCTGGCCTGCGGGGCTGCCATGGAAACAGCGAAGGACCGGCCCACTTTCTGCTTTTCGTCTGAAGACATTTGTAGAAGCTGAAGAAGCTTCTTGGATGAGAAGCGAAACATCTTCAAAGAAAAAAACAAGAAAGTCCAGTTGTCCCTTGCAAAAGCACCTTTGGGACAACCATGGCCTGGACAACGGAGAAACTTCATAGACATCAGTGGTAGACTACCACCAGACTAACTGATGATGTTACTTGCTTTGAGTTTCAATGAAACATCTGCAAGAAAACAACCAAGCTCAGACAGCACCAAGGACCCCTCAAATTTACATCTATTAGAACCGTCATACAAAACCATGGCAACAATAAATAGGGCTAGAATTGATGCTAAGGGACTTTGTGCAAAAGTGACTGGACAGTGACATCTGCATTGAAAACTTCCTCTGGGGTTGACACATAGTGAATAACTTGCAGATGTGATATTTTTAGACTGTATCCCCTTCTTCTTAACTGCTGTCTATCAGATGCTTAGGGGAAAAACCACACTAGGTAGTGGTGTCAATTACAAGCATCTTGGATTTTCCTTCATTACGTATAAGCAGGAAACCCAGTTCCTTCGAATCATAATCATATTTTAATGACCCCATAATTCCTTGCGGGGTGGTGACTGAATGGAGCTGAGTGTTGACTGGCCGGATGCCCTTCCTGTTGCAGATGCAGAGTTTTGTTCAGCTGATACATTCTCTTTGTGCCCAGAGAGAGAGAAATATCTGCCTCTACCTAGGATCGAACTCACAGCCTCCTGATTGTGAGGCGAGAGCCCTACCTCCAGGCCACCGCACCACTCAAACACAGTTCCTTTGAATGAATGCTGCGAATTATTGGTGTGCTACCTTGTCCTGTAATAGCCACAGCATTCTTTGATAACGGCAGCTCCCGCATCAGAGATAGCTCTGCACATGGTAGTATAGCCCAATTCCAGGTCACCAATGTATGAATCGCTGTGTCCAGACTATAGAAATACTCATAGCTGCCAAGTGAAACTCATAGCTATGGAGGCAACTAGAGCCTCCGTTGATGGTGATTCAGATCTTGCCCAGATATAAGAGGCAGTGCAACTCATCCAGAGCGGACAGATCACATTTTTTTTACATACAACCAACCAAAAAGTGCAGCTCAGTGGAGGAGTCAGAACAGACCTCTTACTTATGAGATGCTTTCGTTTAACCCAGGGGTGTCAAACACAATTTCACTGAGGGCCGTGTCAGGGTTGTGTCTGACCTCGGCGGGGTGGGTGTGGCCAACTCGATGTCACTCGCGCGAGGGCACCTTTGGTGGCCCGAGTGCTCTGCCAGCAAAAAGGGGCTCCCAAGCTCCGTTTTCAGCTGCGATGGCCTCCTGCAGCGAAAACAGAGGTTGGGAGGGGGGGCATGCAGCCTTCCCGAGCTCCATTTTCATCGGCAGAGGCATGGCAGATTGGTCCTTTGCTGTTTTCAGGGCAGCCCCGTGGACCAGATCTAAGCAACCCCCCTGGCCGCGTCTGGCCACCAAGCCTCAGGTTTGACACCCCTGCTTTAACCCAGCTGTTGTTTAGCTCAAATTGATGAAAATCAAGAGACAGGTGTTATTTCCCAGAAAATTTTCACAGGAAGTTGGCACTTTCAAAACAGATACATACCTTGTGTGTTCTTGAAGGACACAACAGATTGTTTATAAGGGTTGGGTGTATCTGCAGCATCGGTCAGATTTACTAAGACGAGCAGCAACAACAGACTTTGATTAGCAAGAGGTGATGACTCTTCCTGCTGAGAAGCTCTCTTGCTTCCTACTCCTCCTAGCGTAAAGACCGTCCACAGGCCAGCTAAATGAAGAGAGAGAGAAAAATATCTGTCTTACAACTCCTCAAATCAATTTAGTTTAATACTTGAATGTCATTTAAGCTTGAATGTAATTTGTAAAAATTAAGAACTGGTAAAAAAAACTTCCTGGAAGAAGCCAATAGCAGACTTTTTCGGTATTATTGCCAACATTACATGGGTGAATCCAAGTAGTCATCAGGAATGAAGCTAAACTCAAAGAAAACCTGTTCTATACAAGTTCAGACCAAATATATCACCTCCCTGATATGGATTACTGATCAGTAATAACCAAGAGCCAGTATGAAATTCACTTGAACGTTAGGCGCATATGAACATCTTCTCTCTATATAAAAGCGAAATACCACTCACGCATCATCACAAAATCTCCACAACCATAAAGCCTACAAACTTGAAATTTGGCTTCTAGGTGCTCGCTAAGAAAGGATTTTTCGAAATAACTATCAGAGCATTAATATTTTGTATATTATTATTATTATTAACACGCTCTGATGCTAAGGATTTCTACTCCCTCTCCCCACCTGAAAAGAAATCTCTTCCAAATGCAAAACACAAGCAGAGGAGAGGAGTTTCAGTTTCAGTTTCATAGCAGCAACCAGCTTTACTTCAGAACAGTTGAGCTTAGCCACATGCAGGCTCCTTGCTGTCTCTTCTTGCTCACACAGCAAATACTATTTCAGTTTCCAAAAAGCCCTCAACTCTCTCACACACTGACAGGACGCTAGCCAGATGAATATTGATGGATGCTGGTAGGCAGAGGCAGAATTCCCCCCCCCC